TCGGATTCGACTGGCTTTCGAGCAAGGGAACCTTTACCTTTACTAATTCTATGTGAGCTGCCCTGAGCCCATCTCAGCAGGGAGGGAGGGATATAAACCGAATGCTTCTGCGTTTACCACTCAAATTCTGCCTGGACTGGGAAGCTAAGAGACCGTGACTGTTCATACCACTCAGTGAGCTTGACTGCGTGTCTCCCCAGCCCAAACCCAGTATCCCAACCACCATGCAATATCTGTATTTCCTTGCCTCCGCTTTCTGTTTTGGGACCTTATCGATATTCATCCTATTGCTATACCTTCTAAGAAGCAAACTTACCCGGGTATGTTGCCTGTCACAAAGAAATGAATGCCAGCTAAGGAGACAGCTTCAAAAAGCTATCCAAACTAATGAAATCATTAAGAGAGTACCCGCCGTTTCAACCTAGCACATTTTATACAGGGATTAAAATATGTATTAAATAATGTAGCTAATAAAATACACCTGCTTCATATGTGTTCTCATGCTGAGCACAAAGTCAACATCTAAAAGTTGGCCGCCGGTAACGGAATATCAAATACAGCTCTTCAAACAGGCTTTGGAAATTGCAGCGGGGACAAGGATTCAGAGTTTTCTCTGCTTTCGTGAGTTACCAAGGGAGCTTCGGAGAACAAATCCTCGCGTCTAGGGTCACTTTGTGAAAGGTAACCCCCCCCCTTCCCATAATCGAGCTTTATATTCTTCCCCAAGGAAATGGGGTAGAGGCTGGAGATGGGGAGGGGGGGACATAGACAATAACAATTTGAATTGCCTTTCTGCTTCACTTACAACACCCCAACCCCCCGGAATACGAACCAAAGGGGAGTTTTTATCAAGCATATTAAGCAGCATCTTCAATTAGCCAAGCCGAAAGCTAGATTATGCAGACACGGACCAAATTCCATTAAGAGAGATTTCCCAAGAACCTCCAAACGATCCCAACCAAATCGAATCTATCGCACAATCAATGATGCAGAAAAAGGGAAGACCAAAGCACCTCACACTAATTTGAGGCCAGCAAAGAAAAAGAAAAAAAAGATGATCCAATAGAGTTAGCTTCCAGGGTTTAAAAAGGAAGGAGGGAAAGGCAAGACTGAGCTTGTTTTGCTGCTCTATCAAACTTTGGTACAATAACGG